GTTGGAACAGAGCATGAGAAAGAGTGAAGGAATGGCACAACCTCTTCATTTGGATGTAGCATTGTGTCTTTGGGATGGGAAGACAGACATGAGGAAACAGCAAGGCAAGGGACAAGGTTCATGGTGAAGGAGCCTCCTCTAAGGAGCCCTCGTCATTGCCTCCTGCACCAACAATACTGTCCCATTTCCCTAATGTCCTCAGCACAGAGTTCACATAGCTTATGCTTCCAACTCTTGAGAATCTTCTTTGTCATCACAACCTTACACGTGTGGTTTTGTTCTAAGGTTCTACAAATCCTGAAAAGTGTGTGCGGCTCCACCTCAGTTTACCTGTTGGTTTCCCCTGGAGATTTTCTCTGACTGTGCCACATCTGAAACACCAACACCCCTAGCATCACCAGGAGCAATCTAGGCAGGCCTATGCAAATGAGATTCTCCACTGTGTAATCTGGGAGTTGGGAGCCTGGGGACAATGGGAGAAAGAAGGCATGGAGTGTAGGGCAGGTCACACTGAAAACAGCAGACAGAGCAGAGGTTTACATCCCCGTCCTCTTGAACAGGTCACACATCTTGTATGCACCCCACTCCCAAAGCTAAACAGGTTAAGTTACTTCCCACTCGTGGAGTTTGGGGTCTGCACAGATAGGGTGACAGTAACAAGAGCCCCTGAGAATCAGGAAATGAAAGAAGTTGAGGAGCTGAAAGAATCTCAGCCCAGCATTCACTCAAATATCTACTTTCTTATATCTCCCTACTCATGTACATTTTTATCTACTTTCCCAATGATACCTTCTTCAACCATAGGTGAGGTGGCAACCCTAGTGTTTCTGATTTCCTTGTACTTAGACCTAGCTTTTCGGTTTTAATTTTTTAAAAAAAAGTTTTAGCCATCCTGCATGCCACAGGCTGAGAGTGAACATGTTCAAAAACTTAAAATTTAGCTTTTTCTTGGTCTCTTATCAGCCTGAAGCAATATCCCAAGCTAATCTTCAGCTCCTGGAAAGGAGAGTCCTGAGTTAATCCTCAGATGAGAATCCTAGATCCATGGATGAGAGGTTGATGGACAGGGTTCTTGGGGGTCAGAAAAACAAAGGAGTGGAAACTTGGGACTACCAGTCTTTGCCCAACCTCAGTCAGTTCACTCCCACTGCTGTGTCTCCACTGAAAACCTTCAACTGATTTTCATTTGTTATTTTATTCATTCATTCATTCATTCTCCAAATAATTATGAACTATCTAGAAATAGATAGATGATAGATTTATGTATGTATGTATATACATATATGTATTTATATATATTATATGTATATTTACATATGATATGTATTTATATATAAGCATTTAAATAATATAAGTATAATATACATATATGTATACAATATACATGTATTATATAATATATTTATATATAAATACATTTATATATAAATATAAGAAGACATATGTATATAAACACACACATGGGGTGTGCATATGCATGCTTATGCATGTATTGGTAAAGATGATAAATAATAATTAATATTATTAAGTACAATGAATAACAGACAAGTTAGATCTATAAATTGAAAAGTCTACAATAGAGTTAGGATTGGTTAAACACTTTTAAAAATTGTGAAAGGTGTTAAGGGAACAGAATCTATTAAATAGAGTCACCAGCCAAGGTCTTATTTGGAGAAAGATTTTTAAATCAAAACCTGAGGGGTAAAATGGAGTGAGCCATGTGAAGAGATTGTCAATGCTTATCACATAATAAATGTCCATGGCCTTTGTTTAAGCTATTTCATTCTAAAATTTTAACCAAGAGATAAGGGTAATTATTTCCACACACCCTTGTTCATTAAGTATGTAATGTAAAAGGATATTCATTGCAGGGTGGTTTGAAATATCAAAAGGCTGAAAACAAATTTGGGCATTGGATAAATATATCCAGATACTGTCAAGCAAGGAAATACTATACAGCCAGTAAAAAGCCTTAAATGGATTTATATGTACTGGTCATTCTTCAGAAAGTATTAGTTCATATTTTTAAATAGAGCAGTTCAGAACACTGTCTATAAGATATTGGTGTTTCTCTATCCACAGAGGTATGTTTATAAGACCTCCCTGAATATTCAGGGGAAAGGTGTGGTCAATGGTTGACTTTGGTAGGAGGAACTGGGGAGTTGAGCAAATGGTAACAGATTGAAAGGGTGTGTACTCTTCCTCCACACGGCTTGGAAACAATTTCTGGTTTATACCATGTCAATACATTACCATTAAAGAAGAGGCAGAAGGAAGACCTCTTTGGCTTTTTTTATGCATTCCACATGTGAAAATGAGAGCCCAGTGAAAGGTGATGGTGTCTGGACTTGGAAGAGGGCAGAACAGGTAAAGACGTGGTTCACTGAGGGAGGTCATTGGCTATAGGCTCATCCAGACACCTAGATGGGATAGGGTGGAAAGGAAAGACACCATGAAGAAAAAAGACACCCCACACACACACATTGTCAACTGGACTTGGCTGTATAAAGAGAGGTCCCTCCAGGAGGCTCAGTCACCTGTGACAAAGGAAATGTCTGCTCACCTGTGACCACCAAGTTCAGGGGCTCGCTGGGAACTGAGCAGCTTGTTTGGCTGTGGTACTTGCAGCGTTATCCCCCAGCAAGGTTGTAGGTCATAAGTAGGGTGGGGAACTTGGCCTTGTCTCTGGGTCCCAGTGGAAACTCACTTCTCCAGGGCTCCAAAATCCACTTCTGGTGCAGGTGGTACCAGGCATGTTTCTGAGACCTTTGACACCTGATGGTCACAGGCCTCCCTTGAGCAACAGCAGTGTCTAGCTGGGCCCAGGTGGTGGGTTTGACCAGAGTCTCTAGAAGAATCAGAGGCTGTAGTCCCCATATTCTCTATGTCTGAATTTCCTCAAGCTCTCAGCCCTGGGGCCCCTCACACATGTTGCCTATTAATCAGTTTAGAATTCCTTTTCTCCATCCTCCAGATGACCAGAGCAGTTTCACATTGTCCCCAAGGAAGAGGCAGGACCTGGGACACCTGGGAATGGGCTCCCCTGCCTAGATGTAGGTCTTTTGGCCCAGACACAGCCCTATAAAAGAGATCACGATGAGAGGCCACCGATTCCTGAGTAGATTCCTATCTCTACCCAGCTGTCCTGTTCATGGGGCCTTGAGAGAGATTGCTTCCCACACAGGTGTTTATCCCCATCCTCCCCAAAACTCACCGAGGCAGAGAAGACCAGTAGAGGTGATGGTCATGGTGCTGCCTCCCACTGGACAAGGCTGTGCAAAAACCACAGAAACTGGCAGAACAGACAGACCCACAAGATGTGGGCAACTGGAGGCTTTCCCATCAATGGGCTTTGAGGAAAGGGTATGACTCCTTCCCTGGGCTCCAGAGGGGTCCTGCTTCCTTGCAGACAACTGAGATCAGATCCAAGGTGTCACCTGGCCGCAAGCTTGTGCCTACCAGGCGTGACCTCCTTCCTGGAGAGAGAGTGGTGGGGACTCGGGTTGTAATCCTGAATCAGCCTTGTCGGCCACATAGAAGCTGGGTGTGCCCAGCAGGGAACACCACTTCCCTTCTCAGAACCTCCATATATGGGGATTTCTTTCTTTCCTTCAGCTAGTCGTCCAGCAAATGTCTATTTGAACCCTGAGATTTTTCTAGGCCCTAGACATCCATCTGAGAACCAGACAGATGGGATCACAGTGCTGGCAGAGATCAGATTATCACAAGACAGATGATCAGTAACCATTTTCACAATAAATTGCTTGTTAGAAAAAGGGAATACATAGAAATATGAGAATGTGTAACTGAAGGGAAATATCAGCTGTATATTACAAAAAATGAAAAGTTGGTACCCGTCCTTTCAGCAATACCCTTAAGATGTTGATCATGAGCTCACCATCACTAACCATCAGAGAGATGCAGCAAATAATTAAGGGGTA